AGTTGTCAATATAGTTCTGCTTCAAAGGATAATGATGAATTGCTCTGTCTTATGCCATCTTCATAACTAGAGGCTGGGACTGTGGGAGGGAGGGCAGGCGTGCTTGCTTCATTCTGCTGGTTTGCTCTGGTTGTTGGTGTGCAGCAGCAGCAGCTTGGGAGGATGGCAGCTGACTGAACACCCTTTTGATCTTAAGGAAACTAAGCCTCAGCGCTGCTTGTTAGTGCCTCCGTTTTGGATGGGGAGGAAAGCCTTTCCCTTGGTGTCGTTTGGACTGACGCTACTCGGTAATGCGTGTGCTGTGACAGCAAATCTAAGGTGTGGTGTAGGAATTGCATATCCTTAGAAACTGTTACTGAGAAGTTAAACTTGCTCCATTTAAGTATCTTCTCAAAGCCTTCTGAGATGAATCACTGTCCCGAGAGGCTTTGGTGGTGATCCTCACCCCCGTGGGGAGAGTGTGGGTATAGTCCAGTGGCTGATATTCTGGGAGGAGGTTGCTTCACGACTCTCTTTCCCCTCGAGCTGCAGCTTCTAGCATTCAGCTGCTTCATTCCTGAGAAGTTTCCCTTTTCTGCTTGTAGTGTCTTGTGTGCATACACTCTCCTTCTCTCTCCCTTGTCTAAAGGTGTCCTGTAATTTGGACCTTGCTGCCTTTCCCCTCTCGCTAGTGATTGCTGCTGTTTGCAGACCCAAGGTATCAGAGCCGGTATAGAGTGGCAATTCCTTAGCTACTGATGTCTGACAGAAAAGGAGTCTGCTAAGATCTCAGTGCTGTTGAACAGAGGCAATTTATATCTTCTTATAGTAGTTCTAATAAAAAAAAAAATAAACCAACGAAAAACTACAGTCCCCTTCCTCCTATTTTAGCAAGCTGGGCCAGAAGCATCTCTCAGGGTGAGCAGAGTTAGTCTTCATCATTGCGGCATTGACTGACAACCTGGAGGATGATACTGTGTGATTTTATTTTTTTTTTTCGGTGAGCGGGGGAGGAGAGTGGAAATTGCAGTTTCTCTGCTAATTGTACTTTAGATGTCATTTGTGACAATTTCATATTGTCTAGACAGAGTTAGTGGAGCAATTGCTTCCGCAGAGCCTGGTGTTAGCCTGTTATATATCTGGGTAGCAAAAAGGGGGGTTGTGGGAGAGGGTACTGCAAGCTCCAGCAAGCATTCAGAAGTCAAGCATGAGCTTCTGAAATGCTTTCAAAGGAGATGCAAGCGTGCATGCATTTCTGTTCTCTCTTAGCATACTTCTCTGTTGGAGACTTAGATATTTAGTGGCTAGCAGAACCCTGTAACAGAGCTGCTATTCAACCATGGATTATGTTTATCGTCCTTAACAGAACTGCTCCAAACCTTAGCATTTACTGTGGTAGGAAGTTGGGCTACCTTATACTTTGAGCTTACTGAAAACAGATAGTCTAAGTCTCTTCTGGGACTTTGGGTGGCAAAAGCTGTCAATGTGGCACCTGAGACTTGATAGTGCAACATGACTTACTTTAAAAACATTTGTCTGTGCTTTCCTGGGGGACAGTAGGTTACACTACCAGTGTCACAGATGAGACACTTTGTTGATTATTATAGCAGTGTATCTATTATTGAACCCATTTGTCAGTACCACATACATTTGGATCTGTTAACTTGGGCCTCAAGGGCTCAGTCTAGAATGAATTAGTTAAATAAGAGGTTTTATTTGTGTTTAGTACTCTGGTTTCAGTACAGATATTGTTATTCTCTGGAGCATAAAGCACAGAGATGGTCCATCTGGATCTTGTGAGACTGCACATTGCCTTGTTTTCTTTTTTTGCCTACTGTATGTGTTTATATTTGGCTGTTCACTGCTCTGTGATCTGAGAGGGCACAGTTGTAGGGTGATTAAGAACTACCAGTTAGGTTTAAAATCAGCTATAACTTTTAGCAGTTGCTCTTAACTGATTTATCTTTGTCTGCGTGATCTGAACGTGGCCCTAGTATGTGGATTGTGTGCCTCAGTGTGAGATGGAGCCAGAGCTGAGTTTGGTCTTGGCAGGCTTGGAAGGCTCTGCTGAAGAGGCTGTATTGGCTGAGACTGGCCAACTCGGATGGCACAGACTCTGCGCCGGTCCTGGGGAGCATGCGTAGCAGGGAGCATCTGCCATCCCGCTCCCCACAGCCCTGTGGCTGGCTGGTCTTCCTAGGGAGCCCTTCTGTGGAAGGAGGGGCTCCTGAAGCAGCAGCAGCTCCTGTTGCTGCGTGGGTTGCAGGCTGTTCGGGTGAAATCACGGGGCCGTGAGGCCTGTAGGAAGTCTGTTTACCCAGACACCTTGCCATCCTGTGGCTCAGGCAACTGTTGGTTTGTGTTTCATTGAAATAATGCGTATTGGTTCTTGTCTGAGATTCCAGGTAACTGGTAGAGCAAGGCTCCTCAAGTATTTATGTCAAGGATGAGGTACTGAGGTGAGAACTGTAGATTCCCCAAAGTGCTGTTCCCAAGCCAAGCAGAGGGACTCCTGGCTGACCCACACCTAGTCAGTACGTGTGCCCTGCTCCTGCTTCCACGCCCTTCTGATGCCTTCTGCTTGGTATACATTTTGATTTCCTTCACCGCAGCTGCTGGCTGCTTTCAGAAGGTAGTTGCTCTAAGTCCGTGCTCTTCTGAGGCAATTGCAAGCCATTCCAAAGGTGAGAAGAGAAATATGGCTGGAGAACAGCTGGAGACTCCTTTCCAGCAGAGCCTACTGGGCCATGCAGCATGCACTGGTCATCTTCCCTCGTGGCTCTGGTTTTGCTGTGTCATTTAGTGGATAGACTCTGAAAGGCTGGGGAGGAGGGTGGCATGCATAGTGTATAGGCATCAAGGCTTTTGACAGGGATGATGAGTTTGATGATTATTTGTGTACGCACATTACCAGGACACCATAGACATTGCAGGGAAATGGCATCAAACAAGCGTTGTGTGTAGGTTGCTCACACCTGTAAGGAGGCACTGCTGTTTCTGGGGCTGTGGCCCTGCCAGGCTGTGTGCCACAGGAGCTCTTCTCCCCAGTTAATTCCAGCGATGAGACAGGAGAGTCCCTTCCTGTCCAGGCTGCTTGCAAGCTGCTGGTTTTGGAGTGCTCTGCAGAAGCAGCTGTGGAGAGCAGACTTCTAAAAAGCACGTTGTCGTTGCAGAGGCAGTAGCCCAGTTTCTGAACTCTGAGCCAGTGGTTTAGGAAGGGGCCAGCTGACTGAATAGGTAGAGTATCTCTTCTGCTAATTTTAATCTGTCTACCTTCCTCCCAGGAGGAATAAAAGCAGTTTATATATGATGCAGGTGATAAGTATACCTCATAGGTATAGGACTTCAGGTATACCTCACAAAGCTGTTGTACCATTTCTTCTGGATTAACTGCTTTTGCATATATTGACTTATATATTTCGAGCAGGAGAGAGGGTTTGGTAAGGCTGGATAGAAGTATGATAACTTTCTGGGTTGCCAAGGGATTCCTAATACCTAGCAGTGTTGAAGGTTAGAGCTTTTGATTCAGTAACCTGGGGAATTAATTCATCTCAAAGTTTAAGAGATTTAATAACTGTTCTTGAATAAGACAAATGGTTGCCAAGCAACTTCGTGCCAGAGGGGACAGGATTTCTTTCCTTCTGTAGAGTCCCAGTGCTTTGCAGCAAGCACTGAGTCTCTTGAGCTGACACATGACTTTCCGTGTAAATGGAGCAATCTGTTGCTGTTTTCTGTATTCTAGATTTGTAATGTAAAATTGAGGTGTGTTGTGTTTTGTTTGTTGGGTTTTTATTTTTGTGTCTCTGAAGACAATGAAAAGTTGTCTTGCAATCCTGATGTGGGAGCTGCTGCTGGAAAAAACATCTTATTTGCATTTCTGCTGTCTTTATCTGGCTATCAATGGGAAGCTGGGCGTGGATTATGTCTGGTCCTTCTTCCCTTCTTCCTGCTGCTTGTGTTGACGCTTGCTGCCCTGCATCGCAAATGCTAACTACGAATTAGGAGTGTGGGGCTAAGACTGATAGGTTCAAATCTTTCTTGCCAGTGATGTGTGTAGGTGAATAGAACAGATGTGGTGTTGGACCTCTTTGACTTTCAGACCACGGCAGTTTTCATTTAAGTTATAAAGAGCGGAAAACAAAATTTAGCGGAAGTTCTGAGGCAAAAAGACTTGAAAGGGAACTCAGCAGCCTTACAAACTTTGGCAGTTGATTTTTCCACTTTCCACACCCACCCCAAATCATCTCTCTTGTTAATCTAATGGCTGCAGCAGGCCTGAATGAGTCCGTCTTGAAACAATTCTATCCTCTGCTTTATGACAAGAAGCTAGATAGAGGTAGAAGCCAGGGGTGGAGGACATGTTCCTGCTACATGCTTTTGATTCTGCTGCCTTCATGACTCAGACTCGCTGCTTGCATATTCAAGCTGTCTGGCTGCATTTGCATACGTTTACTTCTTGAGTGAATATTTGGTATCTCTTCCTGTGGCTGATCAAGATACAGAGGAAATGAACATTCTTTTGTAGCTGAAAACCTTTCTTTCTGAGCCATGAGACTAAGATTGAATATCTTACTGTGAATAAAAACCCACGGTGCCCTTAGAATCCACATGCCGAGCCGTGTTCTTTGTCCCGTGGTCCTTGGCCTGTTCCCTGTGTAGCCTCCTTCGAGTAGGTAAGAATTTGACAGATGGCCAGTGTAGCATTAGTGTTTATGGAGCTGACAAACTGGGATGGCTAAGGAGAAGTAGCATATGCATCTTTCTCTCTTGAATCTTGGAAGCGGGTTTGGGACCACTCTTCTTTCTTACTTGAGGTGTTCTTTCTTCTGTGGACTGAAAATATTACACTTTGAATAGCTGTGTTGTGAAAACACTTATGCCATCAGTGAGTTGTTCAGTATGTTGCAGAATTCTCTGCACTGATGACAGAAATAGTCTTAAGAGCTTTCAGAAAGTAGGGCATGAATAGAGGGGATGTTCCTGAATGGTCTCTGACTTCATCATTTGTTTTTCCTTGCTAGGAGGTTGCTGGAGTCTTCCCTCATTTCATTATCTCGCTATGATGGAGCAGGGTCCCGGGAACATCCGATCTACCCAGATCCAGCCAGGTAAGAGCTAAATGCAGTCTAGAGGCATTTAAGTTTCATAGGCAACAGCATAACTTTGATATAAGTCACTGAATCCTGTGGGAATGGTTCTAATATTGAGCTCATCTCCTCCTCCATAACTTGCCATTTGAGGCAGGATGCAAACCAAATGAAACAATGCTGGTAAGTCTGGGAGAGAATGAGGAAAAGAGTAAGAAATTGTTGTTGAAGTAAGCACAGTAAGGATTCCTCAAATCATCTGGAATGGAGAACACTTATGTGGCAAGCAGGTCCAACAGCAAATGAGATGATACCAGTAAATTTGAAAAATTAATAAAAAAACAAATAGTCTATTCAGGAGCAGTGGAGAATGCAGTAAAGGCAGTTAGGTGCTGGTGTGAGCAGGCAACGTGCTTGGAAGAATTAAATGTCTCCATAAACATATCCATATAAGAGAGCATAACCAGGATGCTAAGTATACTTAACTAACGGCAAAATACTGACAATTATTTCTGAAGAGTCATGAATCATTGACATTAGACATAGAAACACCTGCAGTGCTGCTTAATCTCCAGAAGAGGTGGGAGTGTTTCAGAGGACTAGAAAAAGCAAACATGGCAGAGTTATAAAAAATGGAAAGGAGTGATATTTGCAGGTTGTACTTAGTGTATTAAGAAAGCAACAGATGGGGTAATGTGACCCACAGACTCTGTCAGAAGAATTGATAGAATTGTGAACAGCAAGCAGCTTTGGAAGCTTTCGAAGAATTAAATCATGACAAATAAGCTTTCTTTGGATGGGTTTAACAAAGCTATGAATGAGGAGAATTCACTAAGTGTAAAATATGTCTTGATTTAGCCTCTTGGGGAACCTCTGGCATAGCTGCGTGAATTGAAGGCTACTAGGATTTATCATAAATGAGAGTACAGGCATATCCGTGTATGAAAATTAAATGTCTAAGTTGCTGAAGGAGGTTTGTGGGTTTTTTTAATCTTGTTAGTTTTTACATCATTAACAACAAAACGTGCATTTTTGTACAGATGATGCTCTAATTACAAATTCTGAAATAGAAGGCTACATTGCAAACTGGCCACATGGTACAATTATGCTGGTAAATAACTCCTTGCTAACTATGTCCATAGATAAAGCCTTGCAGAGGTGGAATCTTATATTAGGCTGTTTTTCCATTTATTGCAAAGAAAGTTGCTTTGTAAAGATAATTCAAAGGCTCAAGAATGACGTAAATAAAACTGCAGAGAGGTGAAGGTGAGCTAGAGTGTGCTACCTGTACATAAGGTCATTGGGAAATCAGCCTAGGTAACTACAGAAGTTCTTGGCAACTGCATGTCAGAATGACGCAGATAAATGTAAAAGCTTTCTAAATGGCAATTGATTAAATGACAGGTAAAGGGATTAATTTACCTGGAAAGATGAAAACGGTATTTTACAAATGTTAATTAAAAGGTGTTACTTCGTTCAGGTGAATTTATGAATGCCAAGAGCTGCTAAATGGCTGGAAGTGTACTGTTCCTCATTTCTGGAATGCATAATCCAGAACAGGCAGATTTATTGAGCAGAGATTGTGAGAACTGATTCTAGCTCTCTGGGAGCTGCCTTTTGAAAAAGAAAAGGAGGAGGGACTGCCTAGATTGCTGAATTGTTGTTGTTGTTTTTTTTTCCCTTCTGTCAGATCTCTGCTATGATGAAGCTCAGTAAAATGTATGAAAAGGGATCACTGCCTGAGACATTTCCTAGCATAAGGAGCATTGCCAAAAATATTTTCCTACTTGAAGCCATTTTTTGAACTGATACGCTGTTTTTCATGTGACAGTTCAATTGTTTTTAGGTTGTGGTAGAAGCTATAGTAGCTTGAGTTTATAAGGAGCTTTGGAAGAAAAATCCAATTTTGAAACCTCCTTTAAGTGGGTTGTTTCAGTAATTGTCTCTGTCCTTTTCAGAGGATGAGATTCATAGCTGCGTGATCAGCACGAGCTGAAAGTTTGAGTGGGGTGAGATCAGAGTCTTCCTCTGTAAACCTTACTGTTGCGCTAGGCTATTAGGATATTTTTAAACTTCCCCTTTGTAATGAGAAATTAAGGTTGTGATTAACAGTAGTGTTACTGCGTTTTGAGGTTTTTTTGTAGCATCGTAAGTTTGTAATGGAAAGTTATGACTTTCAGATGTTCTTAAATAACAAAGTGGAAAAGTGAAACAAAGATGAAATAAACATATCTGTATATGTCAGTGTGTACATGTGTGTTTAAATATAGATTATATTACCTCCTTAAGGCCAAGTTGTCTCCAATGGAGTATTTTTATTTATTTTTATAACTCCATGATCTGAAGAATTTATTTTTAAGAGCGTGTGCTTGTGCTAGTTGTGTTCCACTTTGTCTGTAATGGTGCTATATTTGAATAACCTAGGTCAGGAGTGAGGCAGGGAGAACTTTTTTTTTAAGTTCCCTCAGATTTAGCATGAATATTCTGAGGTAGACTGCCGCATTCTTGCTTGGTGGCCTTGCTGAACTTCTCTGAGGTCAGCCTGGTTGTTTTGTCACTCTTCACAGTTTCCCTATGTACTGAGCTCAAAAAACAATCTGCAGAAGAATCAAATAAAGCTGTCATCGCAGAAGACCTATATTATTTTTTTTTTTTATTTTGATTTAAATAGAAGTACTCAAAAAGATGCTCCCATATTGCATATATAAAGCATCACAAGGGTATTTAGTGAATATACCTCTAGAAAAAAATCAAAGCTGCTAGAAAGTTTCCAGGAAAGAGACCCTCAGGCTGGATGTTGCCTGTGAGTTGCAGGCTTAAGTGGAATGGAAGCAACCGGAAGTTGGTGTCTGGTACCAGCATTGCCTTCAGCTCAAGGGTTGGTGGTATGTATGCCACTGTAGATATTACCAAGGAAATTAATGACACCAATCAGGTAACCCCTTTAAAACATGTGTGCTGGCTGAGAGACATTTAGAGGTGTGAGCTGTAGTACTGTCAGTGAACATCCTGGCCATCAGCATCAAAGCAGGGTTGATGAGTGGTGTCAGTACTTCTGAAATGTTAGGAAGCTTGGGGTTCCGCACAGCAGTATAGTGCACTTGGATGCAGATACGCCAGTTCTTGTGGCTGTCTTGGGAACTCGGTATAGACATTCTCCAGTTCATGTTCTTGGGCTTTTTAAAAAAAAACAAACTACTTCCTTAGAAGATAATAAAATAGGAGGAGGATGAAGAGAAGCAGCCTTTATGTAAAAAATTTTTGTGTTGTCCATAAATATGCCCAGCTGGTTTGGATATCTGGCTGTAGCTGAGGACACTGTGCTATGTAGTAACTTGCTCTTTAGCACTCTTGATGTCATTTAAAGCAAGACACCTGAACTTCACTAATGCTAGCAAAACATTTCCATTCCTCAGTTCTACTTCACACTGGCCAGCCAGCAGCACTGGGTGCCTAGAGAATGCATTGCCTCTCAGTGACATAGTTGTTGGATGAGACAGAAGCTGGGTGGTTCTGTTTTTTTCACTGCAGCATCTCTCCCACTTGGTGCCTTGTTCTGTGGTGGTCATGTGTGGTAGCATAGCTTCTCCTCCTCTGAACCATCTGCTCCAGTAAATAGGGTCCAGTCACCTCAGAGACTAGGTTAATTTAGCTCCTGTGGTGTTGCAAAATGCAGCCTACTGTCCTATGAACGCAAACTGGGTTTAAGAATTACTGGATAACCTCTGTCTGTTTTGCTGCTGTTTTATTAGAGACAGAGGGAGAAATAAATGGACTAGGCAGTCTGCTGTGACTGGCGTGTGTTTAGCCAGCGGTAGGCTAACTGTGGTCAGGCGCTGGTTTGCAGTTGTGTTCAATAGCTGAATGAACTGAAGAAATATGTTTAATGTTAATGTTTCTTATGCTGCTTTTCAGCCTTCTCCTCCCTCCAGGACAGCTAAATCTCTTACGCTGTCTCTCAGCTCTGGTCCAGTTTGTGTCATAACTGTATTCCAAAGACAGGTACAGCCTGACAAATATAACTTTTTTTTTTTTCTTTTTTGCCCTGCATACACTGATCTGCAAAGAATAATTTCTTAACCTATTGATTTGACTATGTTTCTGCCCTGCCCTTTTGTATTTTGTCTCTCGCACCTTTCTCTCTGTGTATCGGACTTAAGCTTTTTGTCTTCTCTTTGGAAATCTTTTTCACAGTCTATCCAGTCTACATACCATGTGCTATCAGGAAGATGAATCTGGCATCTCATCATCTGTTATGGCCAGTCTTTATTGCCTACTTTTTCTTGTTCTTCTAACAAGCATCATTGTGTTTTTTCTTGTGATGTGCTGCATAATTTGAGAAGACTGCATGCAAAACTAGTTCTTTATATCCTTCTGTAAAACTCTCCCTTGGTGTGATACTAGCAAAGAAGAAAGTTCCAGTGATTACACTGCTGGACTGCTGAGACCACTGTTAATGTTTTCCAGTGTTGCTATGTTTCCATGTTCCTTTCTTTCTCTGTATGCACATATTATGCCATAGACTTATTTTTAGGCATGCATAGAGGCTTTGACTTACGGAAAAGGCCAAAGAATGGAACAGCTCCTCATTTATGAGTGCACTGCTGTAATGCCTTACTTTTTTATACTTGGTGTATTAAGTCTTCACAGGAGTAGAGAGAAGTGCTGTGTTTGTACAGCAAAGCCTTCTATGTTATGTAAGCACGAACAGCTTTAACTCATCAAACAGTGCATAAAAGATCCAGGAGGAATCCAAAACAAACTGTGTGTGTGGTTCCTCTTACCCTTTTGCTGCTTGTTGACTAAGTTTTTAGGCCCCTGAGCCTGTAGTCTGTCTGCTAGACTTGCCTGTGTACCACGAAGGTACCCATGTAGGGTACAAGGAGCTTACCTTGGGGAAGACACTTTCTCTTACTGTCTATGTGACTTCTAATTCCTTCTTTTTTTGCCACCTTCTCTTTTGCTTATATGATCTGAGTGTATGATGGAATGGGAGATTGAATGTCGTTGATGGGTTCTGCAGCCAAAACAACATTAATACAATCTATCCCTTGAAGAATTAGTACATTTCTTTTGTGCTGCTCTAGGGAGTAGTCTCTAGAAGTACTATTAAATGTAGTTTTCCTTTGAAATGTGACTTTAAGTATAGTAGCAGAGCATTGTATCAAACCTAGTCCGATTGTTTGCTTCTCATACTGATGTGGATGTGAAACTATCCAAATATAAGCTAAATCTTATTCCCAGTACATTCCCATAGAATCAGCACAACTGTGGAAGGAGGGTAAAAGAAAAATGTTGAAACAATCATATTATCAGAGATGATTATAGAGTGGCATGTTTGTTGCTGGTTGTAGTATAACACTGAAACTGTGTGGTGTTGGTCACTACAAAGTTAAACATATGCTTAAGAGTGTTCATGGCTGTTGGTGAGGTCCACTGTAAACTGAATTTATCTTGAAGCTCTGTCCCAAAGATGGGCATTATTCCTTGAAGGCAGAGAGGCCACCTCTCTTCATGACTGCAGATGATTTCATTTCTAGACTATCCCCTGGAATTCACTGTTTGCGGGTTTTTTTTGTTTGATTTGTTTAAAGCTACTCACACTTCCATTTGCTGATTAAAAATTAGAGGTGCTTTCTCCGTTATCAGTTTCCTGCCCGTAGTGCCTTAGCAAGAAATGAGATTGGTACTTCCCAGGCTTGTGAAAATAGAGTCTGGTAACTTGCATTGAATAAAAAAGAACAAAATTGAACACATGTATGGAATGGGGAGGAGCTAGAAGTTAAAGGAATAGACATTTTTTTGTCTAATTACCTTTTAATTTCCCCTCCTTCCCCCAAATTAGAGTTCAAGTGTAATCCCAATAAGGCTAAAGAAATGATTATTCAAATATCTGAGGTGTCTGGACTTTAATACTGAGTAACTGTCACAGAAAGCATGTGCTAGGAGCTGTGGATATATGCAGGGTAGGAAAAGTGCATTTTTACCAATCTAACATCAAGTAATACTGGCATATGATAGCTGATGCAAACAAAGGCCAAGTTATGCTCGAGAAAGAATGAAGAGTTAATTGCAGAGAAAGGTGGGTTGTTTTTTTCAGGTGGGATGCAAGGCTTTTAAAGCTCCTCTTAATATACATCTAGTGGATCTGATGAAATTGCCTACCATTTGGATTACAAAGTAGTTAAAGCTATTAAACCATTTTTTCTCCAGCTTGATACTTCATGATGCTCCCTTTAAGTACTCTTAAAACAACAGCCTGTTGATTCAACGTGTATTTGAACACTGGTGCTGTTTGGCATTGCAAGCAGAGTTGACACTGAAAGTGGGCTTGATTCTTATCAGGGATGCTTGCTGGGGTTAGTTGTATGAACTGGTAGTAAATGAAACAATGGGCTCCACAAGGGAATCACGTGGGAGTGTAGCATATGAATGGAAAATTACTTCTCCATGCTTTCTTTATTTACTCTGTCTCACTCGTGAATAAAATACAAACGGCCGCTTTTATGATGTGCTGTACTGTCCTGGCACTTGAAGCTCAAAAGGAAAAATAGGACTGGCTGTCATTCTGTACTTGTGTAACGAGTGTCTGTATATCTCTTGCTCAGGTTGTCTCCTGCTGCATATTATGCTCAGAGGATGATCCAGTATCTTTCCCGGAGGGACAGTATTCGACAGCGGTCTATGCGATACCAACAAAACCGTCTCCGCTCTTCCCCCTCCTCTTCTTCCACTTCAGAGAATTCGAGTCCATCTGTAGAGGGAAACGATATAGAATTTGAAGATTTTGAGTAAGTGTGCATGCTGCCTTACCCTCTTGTTTGAGTCTGTTGTCAGCACAAAACTGCTTTGTGGCTTCCTACTGTTTGCCAATCAAAGACGTCTCAAGCTTCCTGTAGGAACAAGTTAAATCAAGTCATTCAATCAATAATTAGAGCAGTGATTGCTACAAATGGGTCTTGTCACTTCTGTTATGAAAATCAAGGATGCTTTAGGCTACCTTCAGTACATCGGGCTATCTCAACCAGATTTAAATGACTGGTTAAATGAAGGAAAGGAGAATCTTTTTCTCCCATGGAGTGGGTGGGGAGCCAAGAGTTTATTAGAGCCTTCAAATCTTGAGACAGAACAGGAACCACTAATAGGTTTAGGAGGACTTAGTTCTTTGGTCTAAGGCTGTAGGAGACAGCCAGGCGTCTTCTGGTACTTGCTCTATCAGTACAACTTTGTTAAATTAGCTGAAGTTACTGGGATTGTTTTTTTGGAAGACTTGGTTATTGTGAATTTGTGTTAAGGCTTAGTTTCCTGTAAGGAGAGCAAATGGCCTCTTGTACCAGAGTGAGGAGTGGCCCTGGATCCAAACCTTAGAACAGCGCTTCCATAAGCCACTGTATTTCTTTCTGAGCAGTTCTCCTGACAAACTTTGAAGTCTGCTCTCCAGAATCTGCTTTTGAACTTCTAGTGATACCCAGTGTAATCCCAGCAAACAAATTTATTGCAAACCTTTTCCAATAAATGGAAGTACAGTAATGGATTGTTTAGGTGGCGTGGAGACCAAAATCATAGGAGTTTAAATTAAAATAAATTTTAGCGGAAAAGAGAATATGACCTTTTCTAGTCTATCTTCAGTCATTTCCTTTTAAATATGGAATTTTCTCTGGGTACTTTAAGTATTTCACTGATTTCCCCCCCCCCCCCCCCTTGGTGTATATTGTGATTAAAACATAGCTAAAACATAATTAACATTATGTGATTCTGAGCATGGTCATAGAAGTAGCGTATGGAGGTGGTGTGGTAAGGAGGTCTGTTTGACGGGAGCTGTGAACTCCTCAAAAATCTGGGGTTTTTTGTTGCTTCTGTCAGCAGAGGATGCTGTCAACTTTGCTACTGTCATAGATTTCATGTTCACTTGTTGCAGTGGCACATACTTGAGATAGCATGATGATAAATCTCCATGTCCTTTTGTGTCAGGGTGAAGTCCCCTTATGAAGGACACTGGTAACACTAGCTGTTCCCAGAAAAGAAAGATATTAATCCCTTTCTGACTGTTTAAGTCATGGTAGACTTTTTTTGTTGTTCTGTAAAGCTGTCGTTTCATGCTCCAGCAATTAAATATTCAGAAGTACAGGGTGAGTGAATGTCTTCCCCTGTCATTGTGGTCTTGTTTGTGCAAAATGTAAATGAGGGGAGATAATGCAGAAGAGTGACTGCCTAGTAGCTTTTCCTAAGAAGCTTTGTGGTCTGGAAGAGCAGAAATATGGTGGCTGCTGGGCCCATTTTGTGAGCCAAGTGTGTCGCAAGCATAGACCTTAATATTTCCATTATTCCATTTCATTTGTCTGGGGTGGCTTGTTCTGCTGGGTAAATGTGTGCAGAGAAGTGTGTTCCCCTGCAGATAATATTCACACAGGAAAAGCATCCAGTCAGGGAAGCAATTCAGTCAACCATGTTAAGGATGTCTTTCATACTGAGCAAAAAGAAGTGTTTATTCCTTACTATGCAAAGGCTGGATTTGTTGGTTGAATATTTCATATTGAATTCTGGTCTGTGCATTCAAGACATGCTGTCTTTTTCCTTTTTGGCTTCATTATTTCTCCTGGCTGATTAGAAGGAGCTGCTGTGCGGGGGTCCGTAGAGCTGGAACTTGTCTCGTGACTCATTTGATTTCTTTTGCTGACACTTCACATTGAAATTTATTATACATAGTTCTTGCTTCTCCTTTTGGCTCCTGTATCCCTCCTCCTTTACTTGCACATCCAAGCAATCACGTATTTCTTCGTGTATTTCTTTCTTGCCCTGAGCTAGATGCTCTGACTTCCCTGCTTCTCCAGATATGGTGTAAGACAGGGAGTTACTACTGTGTAAGGGACATAAACACCAGTTGGTTTTACTATACATGGAGCTCTGGGCAAGGAGTGAGCCCTGTGCTTGTGCAGGGTGCCTGGGAGACAAGCTTTCCGTGGCTCTAATCTTTTGTGGGATTCGGAAGTTTTTTTTCTCCTCTGTGATTCATTATTGTACCTTTTGAGCTTTGCTTACCTAATGACTTAGTAAGGGGCATGAAAAACTTGGCCTCTGCACTGTTTGTGTGCATATAGCCTCTAAATTTAAGCTAAAGCCTCTCCTCCTGTGTGTCAGTCTAACGGTGTCATTTTCTCTATGCAGCGTCTCCAGAATCTCATTTGAATTTGTTCATAAAGACATTTAGTTAGTAATAGCAATAGCAGTAGTGTTGGTCTAAGAATGTGAATTAGAGTGGTTTTTTTATAGGTATTGGTAATAACCCTCTATTACACCAGCTTTTATGGGTGGGGGAGGAGGAGGGAGACACAAGGTATAACTGTGTTATTTGGTCTGATAAGATGTTATCTCTCTACATGCGCTGCCTGTGTTTAAGCTGTCACTGTCGTCATCTTGCTGCTTATTGAATGCAACTGACAACTGTAAACTTAGTCATGTCTGCATGAAAGCATTTAATACAGTTTGTAATCTGTATACAGATTGTAATATTAGGTTATTAACACATAAATTGGTATGAGTGGGTTTTAAGGTTAGCTTTAGCAGAATCCCCAGCTAAAATGAAAAGACTTCTTGTATTCTGGGATAAGAATATCTGAATGGAGAATGACATCACTTTAGTCTTCTGGCATAATTGGTAAAAATATGTTCTTTATAGACAAGTCATCGATGTTGAGCTTTCTAATTGCAAGGTTTTTCTTGACTGTCTTATGTTTGGATCACATAGTAAGTTTAGATTTTTAGAGCTAAACTATCCTTTCTTTTGACTTCAACAAGTTTGGTTCCCTTCTAGAGTCTTTTTTTAGTCTAGAACAGCGCTGATGCTGGAGACTGTGGGTGATGATTGTAGGACTCATTGGATAGCACAAGCTAACTTTTTTCGTGTGTAACTAAATCTGTCACCATAATCAGAATGTGAAGGTGTTTCTGCAGCTGAATTCTAGCCAGCTATGTCCCTTTTTGTCTGCAGTAAGTGTGGGAACAAATACACAAATACAGGTCTGTTTTATCTGTCGGACTAAAAAGCAGATATATAGGACAGTGCACCACCTCGCTGTCTGAAAGCCTGGCTCAGATCCTTCACTACAGTTCTATAAAGGCTTTCAAGCCAAGGCTAAAGGTGTGACTGTGGCTGACTCCTCTGTCTGATTCTGAGAGTGGGTTGCCTGTTAGAATGTAGATATGAAGGAGCTTGGAGAGTACACTCTTTTAATGTCTGCAGCTTTTCCCGTTTCTGTCCTCTCCTTTTTCGTTCCTTCCAGGAGGATCTGTGCTGGGGTAGATCCATTCAGTTGTGCCATTGTCACAGACTAGGAAGGTCTTCATTGTGTCTCTACAACAAGAAGGGCTTTACCTCCCAGGCCTGAAATCTTGCTTTGGTGCTTTATCTTTTTAATTTCTTTTGAGACACCACTGAGCACACAGACAGAGAATGAGAGCACTGTAGGCACTGTTTTACTGAGACCATGATGGGCATTCTGATTTTGTGGAAGCAGACTCTTGCTTTGCAGAGATGATAAATCACTTGAAGAAAGTTTACAAGATTCAGGGTGATGTTATTTGACTTTATTTGTCAACTTAAAATCCTTATGTTTAAGGCATCTTTTAGGCCAAGAGTTGTGCTTTCACAGATGGGCATCTTGCAGGGGTATCTTCATTAGTGCATAAGGTACATGAGTATCTGTCATGCCCGTCTTCTGCCGTTTTTGGTTGCTGTATTGACGCTGTCACGACAAGAACTGCCAAATCTAAAGTTCTTCCACTAGGCTTGTGTCTTAAAAAGTTCTAAGATCACAGCCTGATAGATGACTGCCACTGCATTAAAGCTATAAGTCTCACTTCCAGTTTCTTGAACATGATTTTTATTTGTTTCAGAGAACAGTATGGTACGCTCTTTTTGGCCTCTTCCATAGTGTTTATTTTGGGAGTCTGTTTTGTGTAACAGTCGGTGCTCCACTTCAAGCTGACATTTTGGTTTAATTTTTTTATATGTTAGGGAGAGAAGTGCACAGCTGATTAGACATTCATGTGAGAGATCAAGGCAATCACACTTCTTTTGGAATGTCTTCATTTAAAGTATCTTTTCTTGTTAGCTTCTTTAAGAACCTTGACTTGTGCATTGGTACCTGAAAATATTAATTAGGAACTGCTTGGAAGCAATTGTTTCTGAGCTAACTTTATTAGGAGAGAGACAAGGGGAGACAATGGCTGTGGCAGTGTGGTTACTCAGTAGTAACTGAGTACCCTTACTTGGATAGTAGGTTTGTTTGGGATTCTGTTTTACCTGTTACTTCTCAGGTGTAGTGGTGGAAGTCTGTTTCAGGGAGGGAAATGTGTGTCATGGTGAGAATAAGCATATAGTTTACTTAATGGCTGGGACAGAAAGAGGTTTTGGAAAGCTTGAGTGAGGAGAGAGAGAGGTTGGAGTTTACCACTTACTGAAATAGCTTCTTCCCTACCTTGGTGAAGGAATTCCATGCTCATGTTTAAATCCAGTCTCTACCTTTTCAGTCAGACTCTGTATCATTGTTTGCTAGAGACACAGCAATGGGAGCACTAATCTGCAGAAATGCAATCAATTCACAATGCACCTACTGTTTTCCATTAGCACCCCAACTTCTAAGAGCACACGGGTAGAACTTGGACTCTTTGTACAGCCAGTCTTGGTCTTTACTGCTCTCTTTCCCAGCTGTTCACTGTGTGCTCATGTGTTTGAGAGTGTTTTTTCCTTCCTGTGACAACCTTCAACTTCTGCAAAAGAGACTCCTTCCAG